CACAATCTCAGCTCACTGCAACCTCCACCTCCCGGGTTCAAGCAATTCTCCTGCCTCAGCCTCCCAAGTAGCTGGGATTACAGGCGTGTGTCACCAGGCCCAGCTAATTTTGTATTTTTAGTAGAAAATGGGGTTTCTCCATATTGGTCAGGCTGGTCTTAAACTCCTGACCTCAGATGATCCACCCACCTCGGCCTCCCAAAGTGTTGGGATTACAGGCATGAGCCACCACGCCTGCCCTGTTGATTTTTTTTTTTTTATTTGTCTTGTGGCCAGAGAATGGTTTGAATATTAGTTCATTGGAATACATTGAGATTTCCTTTATGACCTAATATATGGCCAGTAGCCCATGTGTACTTAAAAGGATATATAATCTTTACATGCAGGGAGTCTCGCTCTCTCTAATGTCTCTCTTCCTTCTCCCTCACTCCACACACCCATATAGACATACATATTCTACATATATATATATAAAAGCTCTAGCTTCTTTCCAAATCTTTCTCTGCCTACTGATTTTTAGTATGTGTGATGTATCATTTTCTAATATAGATTATTCTCATATTAACTTTTCCTATCATGATTAGAGATTGTGAAATTCTCATACTAATTTTGTCCTTTTTCACTCTTTGTATTTTGAGACTGTGTTGTTGAGTGTATGCAAGTTTATATTTGTTACAACTTCTTGGTGATTGCCCCATTAATTATTGGGTAGTTCCTTTACTATGCCCGTTAGTGTGTTTTGCCTTAATTTTTTCCAACCTGTAGCTATTAAAATACAGGCCGGGCATAGTGGCTCACACCTGTAATCCCAGCACTTTGGGAGTCCAAGGTGGGTGGATCATTTGAGGTCAGGAGTTTGAGACCAGCCTGACCAACATGACCTCAGGTGATCCGCCCACCTCAGCCTCCCAAAGTGCTGGGATTATAGGCGTGAGCAGTGCGCCTGGCCCTTCCTTCCATTCTTGTCCCTGACTCACCCAGTTCCAGCTCCCTAGAGGCAACCACTACTATGTGGTCCTCCAGAGATATTCTGGGCATGGTGAACATATTTTTCTTCAAATTTCACCCTATTATATATAACACTGCTATAAACATCTAGAATATTTAGTAATATGTTGTGACTCCAAGAATTTTTTAAATGATTTCTAAAAGGGATATTATATGCTATTTTTAGCAATGTGAATATGGTTTTTATTGTTTTCTATTATTGGTAATGGCAGTTCATTCTCATGATAAATGACATGTACTTTCAGTGTACTAGTCAGAGGTAAGAGATATAGTCTGTTAACTTGTAACAGTTATGCTTAATCATTCACTTGTTGAGTGAATGTTGGAATGTAGGTCCACTTGCTGAGTTTTCTACAGCATATTATTATGTAACATACAGATGTTATTAGAATTCCTCTGTTGATTAAAAAAAACACTTAAAGGCACATCAGTTCATAAAACCACTAAAGGTTTCCACTCAAAAAATCAATGTTCATAAAACATTTCAAACATAACTCTATAGATATTAATTCAAGTTTTCATCACTATCCTCTGCAATCTTTATAAAGAAATTCATCCAACACTTGCATGAAGTCAAGCTTCAGGTAAGTTAAATGTTGACTCTAAGTCATAAAAGAGCATTCAAACTTTTGGAGGGTGAATGTCTCATAAACTTTCTTTTTTTAATTTTATATATATATATAGAGAGAGAGAAAGAGACGGAGTCTCACTCTGTCACCCAGGCTGGAGTGCAGTGCAGTGGTGTGATCTTAGCTCACTGCAACCTCCGCCCCACCTTGGGTTCAACAGATGCTCCTGCCTCAGCCTCTCAAGTAGCTGGGATTACAGGCACGCGCCACCACACCTGGCTAGTTTTTGTGGTTTTAGCAGAGATGGGTTTTCACCATGTTGGCCAGGCTGGTCTCAAATTCCTGACCTCAAGTAATCTGCCTGCCTTGGCCTCCCAAAGTGCTGGAATTACAGGCATAAGCCACTGCACCTGCCCTAGGCAGCTCTTGGGGAAGGGGGAAAGGCAGAAAGGGAGGTAGGAGGACATTTGATTTAAAGACCTACTCAATAAAGATCTCAAATTTATCAAAGACCTGGACTAACTTGATTGAGGATCCCTGTAAGAAACAAAAATGTATAAGAAGTCAATATTATTTTCCAGTAAGGGTAACAAAAGACTAAGAAAGACAAAACGAGAAAAGTCTTTTTTTTTTTTTGGAGATGGAGTCTCGCTCTGTCACCCAGGCTGGAGTGCAGCGGCGCAATCTCAGCTCACTGCAACCGCTGCCTCCCAGGTTCTTGCCATTCTGCTGCTCCAGCTTCCCGAGTAGCTGGGACTACAAGCACCCACCACCATGCCCGGTTAATTTTTTTGTATTTTTAGTAGAGACAGGGTTTCACTGTGTTGGCCAGGATGGTCTCGATCTCCTGACCTCGTGATCCACCTGCCCTGGCCTCCCAAAGTGCTGGAATTACAGATGTGAGCCACCACTCCCGGCCAAGAGAAAAGTCTTAATTCATTTTTGTGATTATATTTTCTTTCTTTTTTTTCTTTCTTTTTTTTGAGACGGAGTCTCACGTTGCCACCCAGACTGGAGTGCAGTGGTGCAATCTCCACTCACTGCAACCTCTGCCTCCCAGGTTCAAGCAATTCTCCTGCTTTAGTCTCCTGAGTAGTCTCCTGTGGTCCCAACAGGTGTGCCACCATGCCCAGCTAATTTTTTGGTGTTTTTAGTAGAGATAAGATTTTACCATGTTGGCCAGGCTGGTCTCAAACTCCTGATCTCAAGTGATCTGCCTGTCCGGGCCTCCCAAAGTGCTGGGATTATAGGTATGAGCCACCACATCCTGCCCATTTTCATTGTTTAAACAATGCAGTAATTCCATTAAAGTTGTTATTTAAAAATAACATTTTAAAATGTTATTAAAATGCATTAGTGTACTGTAAGGCAATTGGTAATCACATTTAACATAACATTTTAAAATAACAACTTGAAAAATACTGAAATGTAAACAGAATCAACGTGTGATGCTACATAACAGAACGATACATAAAAGAATCAGACAACTCTGTATGTTAAGACTTCACCTAATGTTATATTATAAGCATTTTACAGGCATTATAAGCATTGTTATGTCTTTCTGTTTTAGACAGGATCTCACTGTCACCCAGGCTGGAATGCAGTGGTGTGAACACAGCTCACTACAGCCCCAGGCTCAAGTGATCCCCCATCTCAGCCTCCCAAGTAGCTGGGACTACAAGCACAACCAAGGAAGTGTAATTTTCCTATTTTTTGTAGAGATGGAGTTTTGCCATGTTGCCCAGGCTAGTGTCGAACTTCCGAGCTCCAGCGATCTGCCTGCCTCGGCCTCCCAGACTGCTGGAATTACCGGTCTGAGCCATCATGTGTTACGTATTTTTTATAAACATCTTCAGCCAGGAGCTGTGGCTTGCTTTCCTTGTTAAGGTAACTGGAACAAAATTATCCTCACATAGTAATAAGACAAATAAGTGAATGTATGAACTGCATTCCCCATTCACCTGAGGAAAGTGCCTCCAGAGCCTGGAGATTATCTAAATGCTAACATTATGAACTCCTGGGTTTGACACTAGCCTGGGCAACACAGCGAGACCTCGTCTCTATTTAAAAAAAAAAAAAAAAAGTAAAAATAAAATAAAAATAAAGATCTTCTTAAGTGACTTTATAATATCTATCATAAACTACAATAAAAGTTTTAGTCAGAAATCTCTCTTCATAAACCAAAATATTTACTTGGAATATCCAAGAGGCAGAATTACTGGATCAAAGAACATGGCCATCTTTAGGATTCCTGATAATTCCCCATCAAACTGCTTTTCAAAAGGTTTGTAACAATTTTTTTTTTTTTTTTTCAGACAGAGTCTTGCTCTGTCGCCCATACTGGAGTGCTGTGTGGCACGATCTCGGCTCACTGCAAGCTCCGCCTCCTGGGTTCACACCATTCTCTTGCCTCAGCCTCCCGAGTAGCTGGGACTACAGGCGCCCGCCAGTATGCCCAGCTAATTTTTTTTTGTATTTTAGTAGAGATGGGGTTTCACCGTGTTAGCCAGGATGGTCTCGATCTCCTCACCTTGTGATCCGCCCGTCTTGGCCTCCCAAAGTGCTGGGATTACAGGTGTGAGCCGCCGCGCCTGGCTGTAACAATTTATACACACACCAGTGACATATGCCCATTTCTTTAAACTTTTTTTTTTTTTTTTTTGAGACAGAGTCTCGCTCTGTGGCCCAGGCTGGAGTGTGGTGGCGCGATCTCGACTCACTGTAAGCTCCGCCTCCCGGGTTCCCGCCATTCTCCTGCCTCAGCCTCCCAAGTAGCTGGGACTACAGGCGCCGCCACCACGCCCGGCTAATTTTTTGTATTTTTAGTAGAGACGGGGTTTCACCGTGTTCGCCAGGATGGTCTCGATCTCCTGACCTCGTGATCCACCTGCCTCGGCCTCCCAAACTGCCAGGATTACAGGCGTGAGCCACCGCGCCCGGCCCATTTCTTTAAACTCTTATACATACAGACTATTCTAACTTTAAAACCAATATCTCACAGGCAAAAAAAAAAAAAAAAAAAAAATCTCATTTTAATTTGTGCACTTCATATGAAGGTTAATACTCTCCATGTTTTTTGTTCAGTTTCATTTATTCTTGGGGATAAGACTCCTCTATCACTGTCACTTTTTTTTGAAATGAGAAAAAATCCCTCAGGGAAAAAAACTGACACAGAGATCAAAAGAGTATCACAAATATAAGTGATGAGTACACAGGGGTTCCACTCGCTAAGCTTTCTAATTGTTTATGATTGAAAACTTATATAATAAAAATATGTAAGGCCGGGCACGGTGGCTCACATCCATAATCCCAGCACTTTGGGAGGCTGAGGCTGGTGGATCACCTGAGGTCAGAAGTTCAAGACCAGCCTGGCCAACACGGTGAAACCCTATCTCTACTAAAAATACAAAAAAATTAGCCAGGTGTGGTGGCAGATGCCTGTAATCCCAGCTACTTGAGAGGCTGAGGTAGGAGAATTGCTTGAACCTGGGAGGTGGAAGTTGTAGAGAGCCGAGATCGTGCCATTGCACTCCAGCCTGGAGCCAGCAGCAAGAGCAAAACTCTGTCTTAAAAATTAAAAAATTAAAATTAGCCAGGGATGATAGGGCGCACCTTAATCCCAGCTACTTGGAAGGCTGAGGCAGGAGAATGGCTTGAACCCAGGAGGCGGAGGTTGCAGTGAGCCAAGATGGTGCCACTGCACTCCAGCCTAGATGACAGAGCAAGACTGTCTCCAAAAAAAAAAAAAAGAAAAACAAAATTAATTAATAAATAAGTATCATGTGAAAAGTGCGGCTGAATTCTGTACATGAAATCAAACATAGTTTAAGTGAATATTTTATTCTTTAATGCATGCTGAAAAAATAATAAAGTTAAATCTTCGATACAACTAGGTTGTCATATGCCATGTTACTAGCATTTAGATAATCTCCAGACTCTGGAGGCACTTCCCACAGGTGAACAGGGAATGCAATTCACACATTTACATACTGGTTGTTGTTATTACTATGTGAGGATAATTTGGTATCAGTTACCTTAACAAGGAGTAGTTCCTTATGCATTTTGTGGGAAAATATCAGACCTTTAAAACGGAACACTGTTATAAAAAGAATAAAACATCAAGAAATAAAGAAGACATTTTCTGAGAGTAACTAAAATTCTTGTTTTATCCTATTATGCTTTATGTCAGATGCTTAAAATTTAAATATAAAAAAGTTTTACTTCTGAGGAAAATCCTGAATGCACTATATAAGATTCACTACTAAACGGCAAAAATTGGAAGGTCATATACAAATGGTTGTGTTAAGCAGTGGAATTGCAGACAATTTTTATTTCCAAATTTTCTTCAATTATATTTCAACTTTCAAAATAAAAAGTTAGGTATAACAAAAAGAAATTAACTCTTATTTTAGTACACATAACACAGAAGATACAAATTTTACAAATGTTGTCTTTGTGCTAGAATTCCACAAAGTTTCTTAAGTAAATTAGCAACATTAGTAATCATTTCCCCATCTTTAAACATGAAGTTATTTTACAAAGACTACTAGCTGCTGAAGACCTTTTAAAATAACTAGAAAATTTTCCTCACCTTACACATGCCGTAGTCAGTGAGTTTAATGTGGCCTTCAGAGTCCAGTAATACATTGTCCAGTTTCAAATCTCTATAAATTATCCCTCGCTCATGAAGATAATTTAATGCTAGACTGATTTCTGCAGAGTAAAATCTAAAATAAAATAAAAAATAAGTCATTTGATTCAACCATATTTAAGTTCTACATTTGTAACCGGAAACACAAAAATTCATATCAAAACATATTTTTTTCTCCCAGTGATTTTAGGAACAAATTTTAAAAAAGAACTGAAGAACCACTTTAAAACATCTGAGCCCAAGACACAATTGTAAAAGTTCCTGTCTAACTTAAACTCACATTTTTCATAAAGCTATTAATTTGATAAGTCTCAAACAGGGGTTCTTAATCTGGGTCCTTGGGTGAACTTCAGGCAGTCCATACTTCTACAACTGGGGGCAAAGGTGTATGCACAAATGTACATGCACTGTATCTACAGAGTCCTCAAAGCTTCATCACTTCTCTAAGGAACCCATGATCCCCCGAGAAGGCTAAGAACCACTGATGGGGTCGAGAATAGAAAGAATACTACGAGTTGACTACTCAAAACCATAAAATCCTCATGAAGGTTTTAGAAAAGGAATTAAATGAAAATACTCTACAACTATAAAATTCAATGTTAAACGAAGAACTTAAAAAAACTGCTACCAACTCACTGGTGACAACCCAGAACTTCTGGCCTGAATAATGAAAATGGAACGCCTGAGCTGATGTATGGCTGCTTTGGTGGCATATGATCATGATCATGTGTGGAGGGACATAACATACACCTTCGAGCTACTTAATTCTGTGATTCGGGAACTTAAGCCCTTATCCTGGGCTTTCGTCCTCACAAAAGCAAAGATGGTATAAAACCAGAACTGGCACATTAATATAGTAAAAACCAGACTAGCTTTCCCACATTCAACTGAACAAACAAGGAACAAATATTGGCTATGTTTGCAATTCAAAATATCATCTGTGGCTCTGCTAGAAGGGCGACCATTTGATAAGGCATAAATACACAACGAAAATAAATGAACACCAGACCAACAACAAAACCCAAATAAAAAACCCAGCTTGGCCTCAAGATTAGATAAGTACAATTTATATCTTCTTATGAAATTAAAGATTATCACTTTTTGACAAGCAATAATGAAGTAGCAAATTTTCCAAAAGTTTTTAATTTAAATGAAATTTCTAATATTTGTTCCCTGCATGATAATTACATACATACACAAACTCACGTGCTTCATTTTGGCATTACTCTTGTGAAGTAGGAAAGGGGGAGAATTACCGCTGATTATGAATAAGAAACAAAACATGGTACTGATGGATTAAACCTTTTACTCAAGGCCATGATCCCTTCCCACCAATCTCCTCCAACTCATAAACAATTTACAATCTTGTATATTAATATCAAATTAAGGGCACAAAATTAATATTCAATACTCTTTTTTTTTTTTTTTGAGACGGAGTCTTGCTCTGTCACCAGGCTGGAGTGCAGTGGTGCGATCTCGGCTCACTGCAACCTCCGCCTTTCGGGTTCAGGCAATTCTCCTGCCTCAGTCTCCTGAGTAGCTGGGATTACAGGCACCTGCCACCACAACCAGCTAATTTTTGTATTTTCAGTACAGATGGGGTTTCACCATGTTGGTCAGGCTGGTCTCAAAACTCTTGACCTCAGGTGATCTGCCCACCTCAGCCTCCCAAAGTGCTGGGATTAGAGGTGTGAGCCACTGTGCCCAGCCAGAGGGATCATTTAATTACTTTCAAGTATATATGAATAGCACTTTTATCGTGAAAAACTCTCTGAGAGACCACTACAAACCTGAAAAGACTAATTAAGTGTTTATTAGTCTCAATTATTTAAATGGCTGATGCTAAACAGACAAAATATTTGAAAAAGATTGGTTTTAGTAGACTAAAGGTTTCCCTTTTAATACTGTTAACACTTTTCAATTGCTTAGGAAGCACTGTGTGCATGTGTACGTACGTGTATGTGTATAAATGTAAAATCATATACACTATAATTGTTTTACACATATGTAAGTGTTTTACACTTTCATATATAATGTAAAGTAACTTTTAGCTCAGTCTCTGCATGACTTACGAAGAATTAATTGTAGAAAAATAAATTATTTATCTACTGTTTCAACCACTGCACATAAAAAGCCACAAGGCCCCGAAAAGAAAACAACACAAACAGTAAACAAAAACTCACCTGGCATGTTCTTCAGGAAGTTTTCTTTGTCGCTGCATATGAAACATTAGGTCTCCTCCATTTACATACTCTATAACAAAGAACAATCTAAAACACAGGGGAGAACCCATGAAATCAAGATCCAAAATAAGGTAGTGTAACTTTGCATTTTCAGAAACCATCACAACAGACAGCATTCTCTACTATTTAGCCTTTAAAAAGATGCCAAAATTTTGGTGGAAACAAAGAGTATCTAGGGTACAGAAGATACGGAAGATACAAGAAAGTAAACCAGCATGATAATAATTTTGTAACCGACTACTTCTGTTCTAAAGTAGTACCACTTGCAACCCAGAGTCACTCATTAATATCCTAATTTCAGCATTTGCTAAATAAGTAATTTTTGACTATCAAGGTATTTTTCTTCCTTGTTAAACTCTAGAAAATTTTAAGTCATAAAACTAGAATATTGGGGATATTTAAAAGGTTGGATTTCTATTGCCATAATTATGACACGGCTATTTCTTTTTCTGCCTAAAGTAGGTCATTTCCTAATGCTGATCTAATATCAAACTGATATCACTGATGTGAGTATTATTAGCAGGAAGTTACAGGCCTAACACTGTTGCGTCCTCCATGATGTCTACTTCATGAATTAGAGCAGGAAGGTTCTAACTATGTAATATGACCAAAAATATGAAGCCCAGTAATCATTCTATTATATTTCAATCTTACCTGCTTTCTGTCTGAAAGCAAGAATGTAGCCCAACAAGGAAAGGATGATTGGATGCCTGCTCAAACACATGCTTCTCTGTCTGTACCCAATCAATATCCTGTTTTGAAACATGTAAGAAAGCTATGTCAAACTGATATCACAATTAATGATAAATTTGCTCTGAGCAATTCAATGGTTGCAAATGCAATGGTTAACTAGGCTAAATATCAAAACCTTTGATAATCATGAAATGAAAATTTACAAACAAAGAGAAAAATAACACTAGTAAATCTTTCAGTATTATAAAACTGTCTAGAAAAGTTTTACAAAGCTCGAGTATTTCTCCTGATAATAATGTGGTTTGATTTTTGTTTTTCTAAAAAAATCTAATAATAATCAAATTACTTTAAATATCTTATACAGTCTATAAGAAAAGTAAACTGAAATAATATATTTCATTTACTTAGCACATATTTAGAAAAGCAGAATGAGATAATAAAGCACAAACATAGAGGTTTTCTTTAAAATAGTATTCTTGGCCGGGCGCAGTGGCTCATGCCTACAATCCCAGCACTTTGGGAGGCTGAGGCAGGCGGATCACTTGACGTCAGGAGTTCGAGGCCAGCCTGGCCAACATGGTGAAACCCCATCTCTACTAAAAACACAAAAATTAGCCGGGCATGGTGGTGCATGCCTGTAATCCCAGTTTCTTGGGAGGCTGAGGCAGGAGAATCACTTGAACCTGGGAGGCAGAGGTTGCAGTGAGCCAAGATTGCACCACTAGCACTCCAGCCTGGGTGACAAGAGTGAAACTCAAAAAAAAAAAAAAAAAAAGAATAGTATTCTTAAGCAGTTTAGAAACAATAAAATACGCAGTGCTTACCTCATCATCATTAACAAGCTCTTTTTTCACAACTTTCATTGCATAAATACGATCTGTTTTTTTTAATCGAACCAATAGTACTTTGGCATAACTTCCTCTTCCTATTACCCGCAGCAAATCAAAATCCTGGAGACCTAAACTGGATGAAGCTTTGCCACTTTCCCTGGTGTTCATTGCCTGTTGAGAACATTTGTATCAGAGTTATAATGGGAAATGCTTTGCATAGTACATTATATTTCTAACACCTAGTTGTACCTGTAACGATTTAAAGATATTTTCCTAACAGAAATACGTTTTAAGTTCTTAATAGTTTTCAAATGTCATTCCAAACCATATAATCTAACTACCCAGATTATATGGATGAATTTTGAGATAAGAGGGATGGTAATAAGAATGGGTGGGGAGGGAGTTGAAATCACAAAAATATTGAAGGACGTCTTAAAAAGGATATGATAACTTTCAGGTAGAGAGGCAATACAGATGCAGGAATTTAAAAAACACATTAACCTTGGTGACCAAGAGATTGGGGGTACCACTGACAGGGAACGTCAAGTGTGTGGCTAGGATAAGATTGACAAAGTTACTGGAGAGAACGATTGGATTTTTCATAATAAATTCAGAAATTATAATGAGACATCAAGATGAAAGAGTCTGCTGGAAGCTTGATGCATAAAATGTAAGCTAGTGAGAGCACACATTCAGAGGCGTTTTTGGATGCTATAGACAGAAAACAAGCAAGAAGTAGTTCAGCGAATGGAAGACATTCTTTTCCACAGAATACCAAGGCCCCTCTGGGACGACATAGTAAGCCTTAAAATTCATTCACAACTACAAATGTAAGCTTCTGGCAATTTACAGAGAAGCCTGAAGACAGTCTTTTATTAGATGCCTGCAAAATCATCAACATACAAGGGACCCATGAGAATAAAGTATGAAATCTCTGAAGTGAAGAATACCAAGAAAAGCAAAGAGGAAATTCTGAGAAAGATAAAGAAACCTGCAAGCACAAAACTAAAAGAAGGGTATTAGAAACACTGAGTGAGAACGACAACTTAAAAATTTAGAAATAATAATTTGGGCTGCACACAGCGGTTCATGCCTGTATTTCCAGCACTTATGGAGGTTGAAGCAGGTGGACTGATTGAACCCAGGAGTTCAAGACCAGCCTGGGCAATGTGGGGATAAACCTCATCTCTACCAAAAAATACAAAAATAACTGGGTGTTGGTGGTGTGCACTGTAGTCCCAGCTACCTGGGAGGCTGAGGTGGGAGGATCACCTGAGCCAGGGAGGTCGAGGTTACAGTGAGCTGTGATTGTGCCAGTGCGCTCCAGCCTCTGTGACAAAGTGAGATCCTGTCAATAATAATAATAATTTGATTTGGTAACAAGATGATACGGTTTGTATATTTGACTCCTCCAAATCTCAAATCTCATGCTGAAATGTGATCCCTGGTGGGAGGTGTTTGGGTCACAGGGACAGATTCCTCATGAATGGCTTTGTGCATTCCTGTGTGGTTAATGAGTGAGTTCAGAGTGTGGCACCTCCCCTGACTCTGGTGCTCCCTCTCTTGCCATGTGGCACACCTGCTTTTCCTTTGCCTTCTGCCAAGACTGAAAGCTTCCTGAGGCCCTCACCAGATGCAGATGCTAGTGCAATACTTATTGGTCAGCCTGCAGAACCGTGCGCCAAATAAATCGTGTATAAATTACCCAGCCTCAGGTATCCCTTTATTCCTTCCTTCATTTATTTATTTAAGAAAAGTTCTTGCTCTGTCACCCAGGCTGCAGTACAGTGGCACGAACATAGCTCACTGCAGCATGAACTCCTGGGCTCAAGTGATCCTCCTGCCTCAGTCTCCCAAGCAGCTGGGACTACAGGCATGTGCTTCCACACCCAGCTAATTTTTATTTATTTGTTGTAGACATGGGGTGTTTTGCTAAGTTCCCAAGGCTGGTCCCGAACTACTGGCCTCAAATGATCCTCCAGCTCCAAAGTGCTAGGATCATAGGCTTGAGCCGCAACACCCAACCTTCAGGTACTCCTTTGTAACAACACAAAACAGACTAACACACAAGGATAAATAAAGCAGAGTGAAAAGAAACCACGTTCGGGCAGGTTAACAAAGAAGAGAATTGTAAGAAAATAAGTCAACATATAGACTTGAAATATGGCTAACTGGAAACTATAAGAATCAAGTGGAGCAAAAAAGAGCAGAGTAAACTTCACGGACACAATAATAAGGCTGAATGAAATGACAGAAGCCACATAACAGTGAAACGTCATCTTCAAAGGGCCTAAAAGAGAAGAAAACAGCTGACTTAGAATTCTCTATCCTGCAAAAGCAGCTCACAAAGTGAAAGTGAAAGAAAAACATTTTCAGACAAACAAAAACTGAGTGGATCCATCACTAGTAGGCACCCACTAAAGGAAAAACTAAAGTTCTTGAAGGGGAAAAAGCATGATCTCAGATAGAAGAACAAAGATGTAGGAAGGAACGAAAAACAAAAAGGGTAAAATGTGGGTAAATCTACATAAGGAGTAACTGTTTAAAAAAACAAATATACACACACACAGAATTTTAAACTCTGACAATAATAGCACCCAAAGGCAGGAATGGAAGAGGAATGAATTTAAAGTGTGCCAAGCACTGCATTTTCTAGAGAAACAGTAAAAGTGTTATTTGTAATATTTTTAAATTCAAATTTTATCTTAGAGGGGCTATGTGTGTGTGTTTGTTACATGGGTATATTGCAACCAGGTAGTGAACGTGGTACTGAATAGGTAGTTTTTCAACCCATGCTGCCCCCACCGCAAGCAGCGTCTGCTGCTCCTATGATTATGTTTATGTGCGCTCAATGTTTAGCTCCTACTTGTGAGAACATGTAGTATTCAGTTTTCGGTTCCTGCGTTAATTCGTTTAGGATTATGACCTCCAGTACTATCTATATTGCCACAAAACACATGGTTTCATGTTTTCTTTGCCCACTCCACTATTGATGGACTCCTAGGTTGATTCTGTGTCTCTGCTATTGTGAACAGTGCAGTGAGGAACATACAAGTGCATGTGTCTTTTTGACAGAATGATCTGTTTTCCTTTGGGTACATACCCAGTAACGGGAGACTGCTAGGTCAAACGGTAACTCTGTTTAAAGTTCTTTAAGAAATCTCCAAATTGCTTTCCACAGTGGCTAAGCTAGTTTACATTCTCACCAACAGTGTATAAGCATTCCCTTTTCTCTGCAGCCTCACCAGAATCTGTTGTTTTTTGAGTTTTTTTTTTTTTTTTCTTTTTGAGATAGTGTCTCACTCTGTCACCTAGGCTGTAGTGGCGCAATCACGGCTCACTGCAGCCTCGACCTTTGGGGTTCAAGCGATCCTCCCACCTCAATCTCCTGAAGAGCTGGTACTACAGGGGTGCAGCACTGGACCTGGCTGATGTTTTACTTTTTTGTAAAGACTATGTTGCCTAGGCTGCTCTTGAACTCCTGGGCTCAAACAATCCTTCCGCCTCAGCCTCTCAAAGTGATGGGATTACAGGTGTGAGCCATCACGCCCAGGTTGACTTTTTAGTAACAGCTATACTGACTGGTGTGAGATGGTATCTCACTGTGGATTTGATTTCTATTTCTTGATAATTAGTGATGATGAGTGGTTTTTCAGGTTTGTTGGCTGCTGATAGGTCTTATTTTGAGATATGTCTGTTCATGTCCTTTGTTCCCCCCCACCTTTTTTTTCTTTCTTTAAACAGAGTCTTGCTCTGTCGCCCAGGCTGGAATGCAGTGGCATGATCTTGGCTCATTGCAACCTCTGCCTCCTCAGTTCCAATGATTCTCATTCCTCAGCCTCCTAAGTAGCAGGGGTTATAGGTGTGTGCCACCATGCCCTAATTTTTTTCTTTTTTGTATTTTTAGTAGACATGGGGTTTCACTACATCGGCCAGGCTGATCTCAAACTCCTGGCCTCAAGTGATCTGCCTGCCTCTGCCTTCCAAAGTGCTGGGATTACCAATGTAAGCCACCATGCCTGGCCCTTTGCTCATTTTTTAATGGGGTTGTTTTTTGTTTTTAAATTCCTTATAGATTCTGGATATGAGATCTTTGTTGGATGTATAGTTTGTGAATATTTTCTCCCATTCTGTAGGTTGTCTGTTTATTGGTAGATTCTTTTGGTGCACAGAAGCTCTGTAGTTTAATTAGGCCCCATTTGTCCATTTTTGGCTTTGTTGCAATTGCTTTTGGAGACTTAACCAAAAATTCTTTGCCAAGGCCAATGTTGAGAGGGTATTTCCTAGGTTTTCTTCTAGGATTTTTATAGTGTGAGGTCTTACATTTAAATCTTTATTCCATCTTGAGTAAATTTTTGTATATGGTGATAAGGGTCCAGTGGTGACACATGCCTGTAGTCCCAGCTACTTGAGAGGCTGAGATGGGAGGATTGTTTGAACTCAAGAAGTTGAGGTGTAGTGAGCCATCACTGCACCACTGCACGGCTGCCTGTGCAATAATCCTGTCTCACAAAAAAGAAAAAGGAAAAAGTTAAAAAGAAAAAAAGACTTTTTCAGACAAACAGAACAAGAAACTAAAACATAACATCAAACAGGTGACTTATAGGTTTCTTCAAAATAATACAGGAGGGAGGGAAGTGAGTAGACAAAATAAGGCTGGCCATGAATTGATAGTTGTTTTAACTAACAATAGATACAAAGGCTTTGTTATATTATTCTGTTTACTTTTATTTATGTTTGAAATTTTTGGCTGGGCAAGGTGGCTCATGCCTGTAATCCTAACACTTTGAGAGGCTGAGCTGGGAGAACTGCTTGAGGCCAGTAGTTCGGGACCAGCTTGGGCAACATAGTGAGACTCTGTCTCTACAAAACAGAAAATGAAAAAATTAGCTGGGTGTGGTGGCGCATGCCTACAGTCCTGGCTACTCGGGAGGCTAAGGTGGGAAGATAACTTGAGCCCAGGAGTTCAAGGTTGCAGTGAACCATGATCACACCACTGCACTCCGGCCTGGGCAACACAGCAAGACCCCAACTCAAAAAAAAAGAAAGATATGGGAAAAAGAGACAGTGTGAACTAAACCTTTCATATCCGGAAATACACAAAAATGAAAAATTAAAAAACAGAAATACAAACATTATGGACGTAACTAGAAATGGTTTAAAAGGTTGCTAAGAAGTCAAACTGGGAGTGGAAGGTGTGAGACATGATCATCTTTTTCACTATAAGCTTTTTTCAAAAAACTGATTATTATTGTAATCATATAATTTTAATTAAGAATTTGTTTTGTTTTAAAAACTGATAAAATAATAGTCAAAAAAATAATGACAGTTAACATGTTTAATCATTTGTTATCTAAATAAGCAATTCAGGCACAAAATGGAAGGGTCTACTACATATTCTAAACAATACTACCAAGTATTTTAAACAGTATCAAATACATTGTGATTTTTAGATTCAGCTATTTTAAAATGAAAATAAGCTATCCCACTAAATTATTTCCTATTTTAAATTAGTGATTTAATTAGTAAATTAAATGAGAACAAAACTCTGGAATCATCACAAATCATTTTTGTATTTCACCATTATGATCTAAAGTCTAAGCAGGTTAATATGTCATACTTTTAAACTCCTGAGCCTTATTAAAAAACTAATGACATAATGTACAGTAAGACAAATTATCTTACCTCTTTTTCTTCACCAACTTGATCCAAACTCTCATGACTTGAAGGATTGTATGGAATTACTAAAAACCCATTAAAAAAAAAAAAAAAAAGGTACAGGGAGAAAAAAACAGCAACCATTAATGAGTTTGAAATAAAAATTATCTCCTGATTTTTATTTTAGATTTTACTTCTGAATAAATTTCCTTATTTAAAACCGAATACCTGTCCTACTAATAACAAATTGTATGTAAATACAATAGTTAAATTCCAATCTTTAGTGAGGGTAAAGAGAGTAAGCATTACAATCCGGTAGCCAAGTACTGCGTTTAACAAGTACTTGTGTTATTTTTAAAACATTTCTCTTCTTTACAAATTAATCAAACACTTCCTTCTAAATGAATGACTCTATAAGATATGCTTAAACTTTTTACTATGATTAAGACACAGAGATACAGGACCTCTGGTTTTCACTTCTCACTCCATTGTACTCAAAATTTTCCTGACTACCACAATGGTAAAGTAAAGAACAGACAAGAATGGAACTTCTACTTCTTAAAGCTACTTGGGGCAAAAAAAACACAGCCTACATTTCATAGAGCTGATCCTTCTATGACTAGGAGATTGCATCTTGTCTTTCCAGAAAAACTCCCTTGTTTTCCCTTTCTTGATTTAGTCCAAAGAAGATCATGCTGTTCTACCTCCTTTCACTGCTCTCCAAATTTCCCAGATACGTGTTTAAGGTTTTGTACCTATCTAACATTTTCACTTATACCATCTTCCTGGAATTTCCTATATTGCATCTCTCTATCTTTCACCTAATTTCTACTTCTGATAATAAAGCTTTTAATAAAAACAAGTCACTTTGGCTGGGCGCAGTGGCTCACGCCTGTAATCCCAGCACTTTGGGAGGCCAAGGCGGGCAGGTCAGGAATTCGAGACCAGCTGGCCAACATGGTGAAACCTCGTCTCTACTAAAAATACAAAAAAACTAGCTGGGCATGGTGGCATGAACCTGTAATCCCAGATACTCGGGAGGCTGAAGCAGGAGAATCACTTGAACCTGGGAGGTAGAGGTTGCAGTGAGCCAAGATCGCGCCACTGCACTCCAGCTTGGGTAACAGAGCAAGACTCTGTCTCGAAAGAAAAAGAAAAAACAAGTCACCTGAACACAGTCAACATGGGTCACAAAATCAGCTTCATGGTTTTCATTATGGAAAAAAACTGAGTTTGCTGAATTTAAAGGAGTCTCAAAAGAAATTTATGTGAACTAGAAAAAATAGTCATCTGTTGTGGCTTACGTAACTTTTTTGTTTTTTTTTTTAAGTAGAGACAGGGTCTCCCTATGTTGGCCAGGCTGGTCTTGAACTCCTGGGCTCAAGGGATCCTCCTGCCTCTACCTCCCAAAGTGCTGAAATTATAGGTGTGAGCCAACATACCCAGCGCACAGTTGTCTTTTAAAAATGCCAAATGTGTATGTTAAATTGTGTGATTTTACCACAGCGAAATATATGTATTTACTTTTAATTGGAAAGAAATAAATGTTGTTACACTTGGGTAAGAGAGTCACCTAAGTAAGTCTTTACATGCTACTCTGTGAATGAACAATGGGTTGTGCCAGTACCGCTCTTACCTGTCTGTGCATGGTCAGAATGCATGGATGACTGATCCATGGGCATCACTGGTTCCTACAAACATTTCCAAAGACACAGTAACTCAGTGGAGTACCTCTATTACACCCAGAAACAACACTATTTCAACAATACACAGCATATTAAAATTTAATTTTGAACGAATAAAACTTAAATGAGAATTATATTTACTCTTAATTTTGTTTTATGAAACTATACAATACTGCTATGAATGAGGTAATGTTAGTCACATTTTACAGAAAAGAAAATACAAAACTAATTTCAGACCACCAATTAGAAATCAAATTAAACTGCCATATATTCTGCTTTGTTTTTCTTCAACACTACCTATTCTTCCTTCAAGCTCCACTTAAAATCTTTGGCAAAAATAAGTGTCTGGAATATGCATTCTTTAGCTGGGGCCCAGGGGTAGATTTCAGGATATCAAAAACACCTTAAAATTACATGTAAAATTTTGTGGGTTTCTCATTTTCCTGAAGATTCTCAAGGGTGTCAGTGGCCCCAAAAAAGAGAAAAAAAATACTTCCTAGAAACTAACTTACCCAAATAACGGCGAATAATCTCAGGAAAAAGGTAAATTCAAACCCAAGTTATTACTGATTTATTCTTAGACTCACATTTAATGAATACCAGCAGGAAAAGGTAAACTTGAGAAAGAACATTAATGATACAGTTAGCACTTCAAGGCTGCCTTAAAGACAGGCTCATAAGTAAGCTTAAGGATTTTTAAATGCATTTAACCCCATCCTAAATTTCCAATATAATCACTAACCCTGCCCCCTTTCCTTCCATATGTCACCAAATAATACTTAAAAATATTAACAGTAATCTACATAAATTATGTTGGAAACATTCAGTCTTCTGTTTTTCCTTAAGATTGGATTTTCCCCTTTATTACAAACCCATTCCTAAGCTTATATGAACTAATTAAAGAATTCTAATATCAAAGAGCTACCAGTAATAACCTGCTTTCACAATGTCCAAAGAAAGCCCCATGAATAAACATGGAATAACAATTCTAAAGAACAATTTAGAAAGATGCATTCAGGTATTTTTCTTTCTTTCTTTTTTTGACTGTTCCTTGTGGAGCAGGGCTAATCGACAGGCAATGCACTTAGACAAGCTGCATCCAGGTATCTTTTTAAATGCGTATCTTTTAATGCAGTAATTCTAATTCTGGATCCTTAAGGAAGTAAGATTTGCCAGAAAGTTCACTAAGATTGGCCAGGTGCAGTGGCTCACACCTGTAATTCCAGCACTTTGGGAGACCGAGGTGGGTGGATCACCTGGGGTCTGGAATTCAAGATCAGCCTGGCCAACATGGCAAAACCCCGTCTCTACTGAAAATACAAAAATTAGCTGGGCGTGGTGGCACACACCTGTAATCCCAGTTACTTGGGAAGCTGAGGCAGGAGAATCGCTTGAACCCGGAAGGCGGAGGTTGCAGTGAGCCAAGATCGCGCCACTACATTCCAGCCTGGGAGACAGAGCGAGGTTCTGTCTCAAAACAACAACAATAAAAAGACACATGCAAGCACATGTGCCCTCTGGTGGATAAACAACCCTCTGTAAAGCTGACTGAAAAACAACCCACCAAAAAACAAACAAACCAACCCCAGAATCTAATTAAACCTGGACATCCAACTACTGTACAAGACAAAAGAATAAAGAAGACAATAACATACTGAACATAACCATGGAGAAGTAATGAGCCAAATTCTGCAATAGTGTAAATGACAAACAAATGTTTCTTTTACAATTAAATTGTAAGGAAAAAAAGAAGAGAGAGTGATAAATGAAGAAAGAACCAGTAAGTTAAAAAATATCTAAGAGATCAATCAATTGTACAGGTGGACTTCATTTGGATCCTGATTCATAATGAAAACTATAAAAACAAAATTATAATATTTATGAGAACACTTACTGGATATTTTACATAAGGAATTTGTTTTTTAGTTAGTTTTTTAAAAAGTCCTTCTCTTTTAGAGGTACATACTGAAATACGTCTGAGATTTGTTTGAAAATAACACAGGGCAAGGGGAAGTTAAGTGAATGGGGGTACAGATGAAACCAAGATTAGTCATGAGTTGATAACTGTTGGAGGTGGGTCTCTAGTACATGGGAGTTCATTATAGTGTTCTACCTACTCTTATACATGCTTACGTTTTTTCCATATGGAAAATTAAAAATGTTTATGCATATAAATTTGCACAGGAAAAGTTCTGGAAGGATATCCACCAAATCACAATTACCTTTAGATGGTAGAATATATGTAGACTTTTACTTAATTTTTTTAAATTCATCTGTATTCTGTATTTTTTCTCTAACAAACATATTTTATTTATATACTTAAAATAGAAATTGATAAATAAAAATTTTAAAAGCTTTCCTCCCCAGTAATCTCACACTTTAAATAGCAAACATGGTATCTTTGACTCTTCTTACCTGATATCTGCTTAGGAGAGATGCCAGAATAATGTGAGCTATAAACTAATATGTTCAGATTAAAGGAGAGGGGAAAAAAGTCTCTTAAATGGTTCTCTCTATATTTTCCTTATTTAGACCAGAGGAATTTATAGTAGGTCAAAGAAGCTAACTGTATCCCACAAACAAATATTACCACAGATATTTCGAAGTTCCAAAGTTCAAGGTATGTTAACAGGAATGTAAGGTATTCCTACCCACACTCTGTAGCTACTCTGTTGTGTCGTAATTCCTGAACACCTCCCTATTTTAGCACTCTGTTCCAGTAGTGTTATCAAGCACGCTCTTAACAAAAAAAAAAAAAAAAAAAAAAAAGGACAGACAACTGTATCTTACCGGTGGCAAAGAATGCCGCCCACATTCAATTGTGACGAGTTTATGGCACTTCTTATGAACCAAGAGTTTGCAGTTGATGCACTTATATCCTTGGCGTCCAAGTCCCCATATTCGGTCTGTGCAGATGGCACAGTGAGCACGCTGAAAAGAGTAATTCAACAATATTTTATTAACCAAAAAGAAGGTCATAATCATTTCCCAGTTTGCTGACTCAATTCCCTTTGTCATGGTGTCAACTGTCAGCCCATGACAAAAACAAAAGCAAAAACAAAAGCAAAACAAAGCTTCTTCATACATAATTTTTTAAAAGCTATGAAGGTCAGTGAAAAACAGAGCTTATTTTAAACAGACAGTGAAACTTGCAACCACATTTCTTTCTAAGTCTAAGAATTTTCAGTCTTTACATGATTAAGTTCAGAATAATGAAAACAGAAAAAGTGAATTAAATTAGAAATATACATGGCAGAAAAAGCCATCGAAGGACTCCTAAGCAAACATTAACCTTGCAGGCTGTTCAGAGGTCAAACCAAAGCTCTGTTTTCTTAAAGAGCAATAACCTAAAGTGACTTTTCATTTCAAAGCCTCCCTCCTTCCTTCCTTCCCTTTTTTTTTTTTTTAAATTTGAGACGCAGTTTTGCTCTTGTTGCCCAGGCTGGAATGCAATAGCACAATCTCAGCTCACTGCAACCTCCACCTCCCAGGTTCAAGTGATTCTCCTGCCTCACCCTCCAGCGTAGCTGGGATTACAGGCATGCGCCACCATACCTGGCTATGTTTTGTATTTTTAGTAGAGACGGGGTTTCACCATGCTGGTCAGGCTGGTCTCAAACTCCTGGACCTCAGGTGATCCACCCGCCTTGGCCTCCCAAAGTGCTGGGATTACATGTGTGAGCCACCACGCTCGGTCTTTCTTTTTATTTATTTATTTATTTTTAAGAGACAGTGTCTTGCTCTGTCAGCCAGGCTGCAGTCCAGTGGAGTCACTTTGATTCACTGCAGCCTCAACCTCCTGGGCTCAAGCTTCCTGAGTGGCTAGGACTACAGGTGTGCAACACCATGCCCCGCTAATGACTGTATTTTTTGTAGAGATGGGATCTCACTACATTGCCCTGGCTGGTCTTGAACTCCTGGGCTTCAGTGTTCCCCCTTCTCAGCCTCCCAAAGTGCTGGGATTACAGGCAGGTACCATTGCAACCAGCCTCAAAGCCTTCTTAAATGTCAGTGCTACTGGAAGTAAAAGAGTTTGGAGAGGGATTTCAGGTGGTGGTTTCTATTTACATTAATTAATTTAGGACATGGCATTAATTTTAGAATGGAAATGGCATCCAAAATTTGCAGTTATCAAGAGTATTTAAAAACTTCGCTTCTGGCCAGGCATGGTGGCTTATGCCTGTAATCCCAGCACTTTGGGAGGCTGAGGCAGATGCATCAGGTGAGGTCAGGAGTTTGAGACTAGCTTGGCTAACAAGGTAAAACTCCGTCTCTACTAAAAATACAAAAAATAGCCAGGCCTGTTGGCTGACGCCTGTAGTCCCAGGTACTCAAGAGGCTGAGGCACAAGAATCACTTGAACCCAGGAGATGCAGGTTGCAGTGAGCCGAGACCGTGCCATTGCACTCCAGCCTGGGTGATACAGCGGGACTCCATCTTTAAAATAAATAAATAAATAAATAATAAATTAATAACTTACTTCTGAAGACAGACTGCTGCTTTCAAACTTTGGTTCTATCACTTACTAGCTGTATGATCTTGGGCAAGTTACTTAACAGCCCTGCACTTGAGTTTTGCCATCTATAAAGTGGAAATGTATAGTACCTATCTCACAGGGTTGTTGTAAGGATTAAATGAATCAATGTATATAAGGCATTTGGAAAAGTGCCTGGTATATAGTACAACCCAGATAAGTGTTTGCTATTATTATTTTCTAAACCGTGAAAATCAAATTACAACACTAACTGGCAAAATAAAGATTAAATAAAGAAAATAAACCTTGCTTGTTTTCTGGCTGCCTTAAATTATATTTTAAAATCCAATTTTCTTACAGCTAGGGTATATCATGTGGAATAATTAATCATCCAATCTGGAGCTCTTTTTTTGAGACTGGGTCTTGCTCCATTGCCCAGGCTGGAGTGCAGTGGCACAATCTCGGCTCACTGCAACCTCTGCCTCCCAGACTCAAGTGATTCTCCTGCCTCAGTCTCCCGAGTAGCTGGGACTACAGGCGTACGCCACTGCACCCGGCTAATTTTTGCATTTTTAATAGAGAGAAGGTTTTGCCATGTTGGCCAGGCTTGAACTCCTGGCCTCAACTGATCCGGCAGCCTTGGCCTCCCAAAGTGCTGGGATTATAGGCCTGAGCCACCACCCCTGGCCTGGAGCATTTTTAAGAGTGAAAAGAGATGCTATTAAAAATTACAGGCATACTGCCTCAGGCAAACTGGAAACGTAAGGTCATGTTACTTATGTATTTAAAAGTGTGTAACAAGACTTAATAACAAACTACCTTTCTTTCATAGCAGAAAGGAAAAAAATAGCTGTCTCACATTATCAGCATTCAACAAACTACGTTTACCCTGTTGAAACGCTTGGCTTGGAAAGTGTGGCCATTGGCACAATAAAGCTTTCTCCAGCGGCGTGCACCTCTACGGTAGATGGATTCTGAAGAGAGAGTAATAGTTAAAAAAAGAAAAAAGAGCAAGTGTGAGTAAAAGTCATTTTATAATTAAGTCTGTAATTTTTTTCATGATACTCATTGCAAGAAAAAAAAATACTGATAAAAACGTGAACATCAAAAAGTAAAACAGATTCATCAAGGGACCAGACAAAAATAATCCACAGGGTATAAATATTTGACTACTACTGCGTGTCCTTTTTTTTTTTTTTTTGTGAGACAGAGTCTTGCTCTGTCACCTGTCACCCAGACTGGAGTGCAATGGCACAGTCTCAGCTCACTGCAACCTCCACCTCCCAGGTTCAAGAGATTCTCCTGCCTCAGCCTCCCGAGTAGCTGGGATTACAGGGAGGCGCCACCACGCCCAGCTAGTTTTGTATTTTTAGTAGAGACGGGGTTTCTCCATGTTGGTCAGTCTGGCTTGAACTCCCAACCTCAGATGATCCACCCACCTCGGCCTCCCAAAGTTCTGGTGTTACAGGTGTGAGCCAACGCGCCCGGCCTACTACTGCTTTTCTTTTTAAAAATTTTCCTCCAACTTTTTATTTTGAACATCTTTTAATCCCACAGAAAAGGTAAAAGAATAGACACCTTCATCTTCCACCGAGATTTACCAATTATTCATGTTTTGTCATATTTACTTTCTTCACTATAAAAAAAATACTTTTTTTTTTCTGAATTACTTGGAATTAAATGCAGATATCATGACACTTAAATACCCTTAAATACCCTTAAATACTCAAGTATCCATTGTCTGAGATTAAGGATATTCCACCCCCTCCACTCGACCCAATTCTACCTAACCACAATACCATTACCATGTCTTAGAAAATCAATATTAATTCAATATCGACCAATATACAATTCATATACAAAACTTCCCTAACTACTTTCAAAGTGACTTTCTTTTTTGAGACATAGTATCACCCAGACTGGAATCCAGTGGTGCAATTTCAGCCCACTGCAACCTCCGCCTCCTGGGTTTAAGCAATTATCCTGCCTCAGCCACCCAAGTAGCTGGGATTGCAGGTACACACCACCACACCCGGCTAATTTTTGTATTTTTAGTAAAGACGGGGTTTTGCCATGTTCGCCAGGCAGGTCTCAAACACTGACCTCAACTGATCTACCTGCCTCAGCCTCCCAAATTGCTGCAATTACAGGCGTGGGCCACTGTGCCCGGCCCCAAAGTGACTTTCAAAGCTCACTTTTTCTATCCAGGATGCAATCAAGATTCAGGGACTGCATTTGATCATGCTTTTTTGGTCTCCTTAACATTCTAAAACACTCACTCTGCCTTATTTGTTGCTACTTCTTTTTCATGATGTTGACTTATTTATTTATTTATTATTTATTTAAAGAGTCTGGTTAGGTGTTTTATATTACATCCCACATTCTGGGTTTGTCTGTTTACTTACAATTAGAGGCAGTATTAAATACCTTTGGCAAAAACAATACACAGGTAGTGTTGTGTATTTCTTATCTCATTACCTTTCATGAGGTACACAAATGTCAGAATATCAACTCCCACTACTGATGTTCAATAATCATTAAAGGTATTGACTGCTAGATCTCTTCATTGTAAAGGTACATTTCACTCTTTGTAACTATCTGTAAAGAGATATTTTGTACCAGAAGCGTATCTTTTTCCCCAACAACTTTTCATCCAGTGGTCTTTATATTAATATGTTTCTTAAGTATAGTTAGAGAAAGAGGTTCCAAATGATCAAATCTAGTCCACCTTCATATTTTTAAGTCCATCGCTATCATATATATTGTCTATTAGTCATTAATAATAACATCCCACAGTAATGGTAATAACAGTAATAGTTAATACCACAGAAATATTACATTAGGTTCCCAAAGTCATATTTTAAACCAAATGTAGCAATGGGTTTACTATTTAAAATTAAGATACTAAAGACCAGTTGCAATGCTCTCAATTAAAACTCTTAGGATAGCTTAATACAGAATTGAAAGTTTAGAGCTATTTTAATTAATTAAAAGCAAAACATTTACCACTATTCCTTCTAAAGTCATGAGCATGTGCAGAAACCACAAATGAAATTGAGTTGCCTAATACCCACAATTAGTAAATTATGCCAAATACCAAAAGCAATAACTTATAATCAAACATAAGTTTGCATACTTAAATTACATTAGAACAAAGAGTAGTTGGACTCTTTGAGTGCATCTCATTAATAGTAACCATTGGCTTATATAGTCCAAAGAAATTCTATTAACAATTCCTGACCTGGGGAAGCTTTTAAGTGGTGGTTCTCAAACTGTAGTGTGCATCAGAATCACCTGAAGAGCTTGCTAAACCTGGTAGCTCAGCCCCAGTCCAAGAGTTTATGAATCACGTAGACTGGAGTGCAGTATTTTTTTGAGACAGAGTCTCGCTCTGTTGCCCAGTGGCGTGATCTCAGCTCACCGCAACCTCCGCCTTCCAGGTGCAAGCAATGCTCCTGCCTCAGCCTCCTAGGTAGCTGGATTACAGGCATGCATCACCACACCTGGCTAACTTTTTTGTATTTTTAGTAGAGATGGGCTGTCACCATGTTGGCCAGGCTGGTCTTGAACTCCTGACCTCAAGTTGATCTGCTCACCTCAGCCTCCCAAAGTGCTAGGATTACAGACATGAGCCACTGCACTCGGCCTGAGTGCAGTTTCTATCCAGTTCTCAGGTGAAGCTCACGCCGTGGACCCCAATGGCTACATTTTGAGAGTTAGTTTTAAAATACAAAGATGTCCAGATCTCACTTACAGACTAATTCATTAGGCTTGGGGATGGAAATCTGGCATTGATCATTCCCTGCATCCCACAATTTTAATGTGTCCAAGGGTAAGAACCACTGTTCCACTGTGGACTATGGTTGGTTACCTGAAGTTACTAGGAGCTGGAGATCTAATAAATATACACATTTCTCTGGGTCAATTGTAGGAAGTCTGCAATATTTAAGACATTTAATAAGTGACTTGGGGCCAGGTGTTGTAGCTCATGCCTATAATCCCAGAGCTTCGGGAGACTGAGGTGGGTGGATCACCTGAGGTCAGCAGTTTGAGACCGGCCTGGCCAACACGGTGAAACCTCAACTCTACTAAAAATACAAAAATCAGCTGGGCATGTTAGCGGCGCCTGTAAATCCCAGGTACTCAGGAGGCTGAGGCAGGAGAATTACTTGAACCCCAGAGGCAGAGGTTGCAATGAGCCAAGATTGCGCCACTGCACTCCAGCCTGGGTGAGAAAGCGAGACTCTGTCTTAAAAAAACAAAACAAAACAAAAAAAACAGTGACTTAGTAATTGTTTAAAAAAAAAAAAAAAAACTGCAGAAAAATAAAAGCCAATTCCTAACGACATGCGCTGAGTGTCATGTCACTCTCAAGTGGTATAACAAAAAAAAACACAAGTGTGTTTGTTATGTATAACTGTGCATGCATAGACATAGACAGATACAGAGATAAAGCAAACAGGGAAAATGTTAAAAATTGGTAAATCTGGGCAAAGGATATATAGGTATCCTTGTTTCCCATGTTGTTTCAACTTCTGCATAGGTTTGAACATTTCCAAAATTAAATTTTAAAACTTAAATTTAACTTAATTTTCCTTTCATATGTGCAACAGACAATCATGTAAGTTGTAACTAAGAACTATCTGAATTTGATCTGGCAAAAGTAGCATTTGGGCAGTCACTAATATATTTTAAACCGACTGAAAAATGGAAAATAAATCAAATGAATTAGAACTTCTATTTCCTTTTTTTTTTTTTTTTTTCCCTTGAGGCAAGG